CAAAGAGTTATTTTGAAGTGCACGCTTCAAAATGACCAATCAAAGAGCGTATAATATCGTTTTATTCTTTATTTCCCCGGAGCCTCGTCTGCAATTCTTTTGTGCATGGTCACTGAACCAAAATATCTAAACTCGGCTATTGCAAAACATTTTACTGTGACGGGAGTGCATTGGCTAAAACTGACTTAAAATACAAACGAAAGATTTTTGTGTTCAATTTTTTTGGAACTAGTTATCAACTGTGGACTATAGGGTTATGTAGAGGAAACGTTTGGGTTTCTAAATTACGTAGCAACAGTAACTAGGGAGGTAAGACAATGAACCGGGGTCGGTCAATTGCTCAAGATAGCCTTATAGTCTTACCTTTATCAGCATCTGAAAATCAAAACAAAAATAGCACATCAGTACATGATTTATAAAGCAAAACATAATTTCTAGTCCCCCCGCAGCGGTGTTTAGCTTTGGTCGCGCTTAACGCGTAACGCAGTCTGGGAGAGGTAACAAAATCTTGCACAGGTATGCATAGATAATTTCCCACACGAACTTCGTTATCCATAGCTTTTGCTACTTTTATAAATGCCGTGTTGCACTTCTACGACCCAAAAATCAACATGACTTCACAGAATATCTAGATCACCCGATATGTTCACCCAGCATTCAATGCGGTCGTGTTTAAAATTTTTCATAAATGGAAAACTCAAATATCCATTCACAACCCGTTTCCATCCGGCGGTTTTAAGGTCGAATCTTACAATACATCCATTCATAGATAAGGATAAAGGGACAATAAAGAGTTTTTTAAAAGCTCACGTATTTTGGCAATTTTGTTTTGGTTTTCAAACATAAACAAAAGCTCCTAAAGGATAGAATGCTAACATTAAATGTGTGCAATACTTTCCACTATTTACTACAAAATAGTGTGAATTAAACAATAGAAAACAATAGAATTAGCATATTTTAGCAGTATTTAGTGGTATTTATGTTGCACAGTTTTAGTGTTTGTACTCTACTTGTTAGCCATTGCTAATTGCCCTATTTCATTATGACGTCACAGTATGTTTACATCGGAAAACGATGCTCAAAAACAGCGGAAATTTGGAYCCATTTATATTGTCGACTAAAGTAGAACTTCAGTGAATCGCGTTTTGATATATATCATGTATAAAGGATAGCTCATCTACATTTTATTTGATATGCAGTCAGACCAGTCACTCTGATCCCTTCTGGCGACCATAATCCTTAGCGTTAAAACAATAAATGTTTTGATGTGACGTCATAATGAACTAGGGCAATTAATACATTTGAAGATGAACACTTACGGTTGACTTTCAGACAGACAGACTTCAGTTTGAGGTCACCACGGTTTCCCGCTGTTGAAGGAATTGCTAAAATAAGTTTTTTGAGGAAAGGTAGTCTCCTTAGCAGCCGGTCTTTCATTTTGTAGGAGTCTACGTATATTCAGTTTAGTACTTTTGACATCTCCATTTCTTATGACGTATTCCATATGTATAAAGATATTTGCATCAAGACTTCATGCAATTTTAAAATGGAAATCATAATGAGAGACACCTTATCAAAATTCACAAATCCACACATTTTGATGACAATATGAGTAAAGGCTATGCTGCTATTGATATTAAAATTTTCAAGCAATGTATGTCTGAATCGACAGCTGTACCTCCAGAAGTAAAATACTCCAGTTTCGAGTTCATAGCGAAAAACCGCTGCTTTATTTGACAACAGATTCTCTTGCGCAAAGACCTGACCAAACACAAAAGAGAGCACGAGAAAATGCCGTTATTACAATAGCCTTGAAAATTTGCATTTTCCCCGAGTTGAGACTAACCCTGTATTCCCATAAGACCTAAGGTATGAGCCTTCTGGGAATACAGGGTTAGCCTCAACTCGGGGAAAATGTAAATTGTTAGCGCTATTGTACTAACAACATTTTCTCGTGCTTTCTTTTGTGTTTGGTAAGTTCTTTGCGTAATTGAATCTGTTGTCAAATAAAACAGCGATTATTCGCTTGGAATTCGAAAATGGAGTATTCATTTTATTTTTTACATTTTGAAGAGGTTCCTACTGGATTCTTATTCAGCAAAATATATATTAACATAGTACCATGTGGTATATTTGGGCATGTTTTTTTTTTCTTTGAGAGGAAAATCAGTATTTGCTACAGCTAGTGCCAGCACCCTGCTCGTTTAGAACATGGCCAATTGACAAACCTTCGCAAAGACGACCGACGTGTAACAATAAAGAGGGTTCAGTATTACGTACCTTTACCCATRCAGACAYCTTGGAGTGACAGTTTTCCCTTGGCACCTTAAAAACAATAAGACACAATGAGGAATAAGTAATATATGGAAACTTTTATATCTTGTATATGTCATCTCTATTTGAGAGTCTCCACATTTTCATCTGAATTTCCTGGATAAACATCCGAATCGCCCAAACAAACGTACCCTGATAAAGATCAAAATCTCCCAAACAAACCCTGGTCAATTTTTATGCTCCAAAAGCTGCCAAAACATTACCCAAGATACTTTTCGACTCTGTTTTTATATGCTTGATCCTCAAAAAAATGAGTTCAAATCAGAACTACGGGTTTTTCCTTCATAATAAGCGACAAATACCTACCAGCAACCATGATCCTTCCGTGACCAGGGACATGTACTGACTGATGAGCACCACATCCTAGAAATAAAATCATTGTACGTGACATACTGCGTGACATTTGTACGTGACATACTGCGTGACATTTGTACGTGACATACTGCGTGACATTTGTACGTGACATTGTGTGCGACATCATACGTGACAGTGTAAGTGACTTGTGATTTATTGTTTTGTGCCATTGCACTTGATGAACATTGCACGTGATTAGAGCGGATTTCGTATGACTGTGCAACGGCACGGAACACAACACGGACACGGCACGGCACGGTCACGGAACCTCGCCTTCTAGGATAAAGATTTGACAATACATCACCGCTACGGCACGGTACGGTCACAGCGCGTGCTTTTTGCACAGTCATACGAAATCCGCTCTATTAGGACATACGTTACATGACAAACAGTCATACGTGACATTAATTTTGAAAACAATGTCCATTTCAACAGTGAAAAACAAGTTAACATTTCTTAGACTCACCTCTAACAGGAAGGCGACGGACGCCTCTCAAACGGAGACGGCGACCTCGTCGACGGCGAGCTGCCCAGCGGCTGCGACGGCTGCGGTACTTACGTCGACCAAAACGACGATAACGACGACCTCCGCGTCGACGCTTACGGGCCAAGCGCTTCTTTTTGGCCAAGTAGCGTTTCAGCCACTTTTTGTCCCAAGAGCCTCGCCATATTGCTCTCTTTTGAGCCTCTAATCAATTCAAAGAAAGCGTTAGAATTTTGGATATGCAGACGATAGAAATCCCTTAAAACGTTGTTTTGGATGGTTCTCTAAACTAGGTTAAGTAAAATTGATAGGCAATGTGCAGCGACGCCATTTTGTTTGTGCAGCAAAGCATGATGGTAATTGTAGTCCTCACACTTTTTATAGTCTCTAAAATATCTCCTTAAAAGCCGGTTTTACATCTTCTTTTAAGAAAAGGCACAAATACTTCTATTTTCAYTTAGAAATAGCAAAAAATGGGTGGTAAGGATGACTGTTTTAATGAACATAAAAAGTACGAGGCTTACAACTAATATCATGCTTTGCTGCACAAAATGGCGTCGCTGAAATATTCCCAAAATCTGATTTTGATTTTTGTTTGTTTGTTTGTTTACACTAAGTGTGAGCCATCAGATATTGTTTCTCGTAATACGTTTTGTTCCATCTGTGTCGTTGGTTTTGAAACGGTTTTGTTTGGTTTTGTTTTCTCAAAGCTGATGAGAAAGTTGGCCGCTAAACAAGGCTGGAGAAAAATTAAGATTCAAATGATGTAAAAATAATGTTTCTTACTTTGTACGACAGGCTTCTTATCTTGGGTTTTAGCTGGAAGAAACAGGACAAATCATGTCTGTTTGTTATTTGATGCTAGCCTAAATTTGTTAATGTTATCAATTGTGTTCAATAGACCTTTATCGAACTCAAACATGACTTCTTAAGGCCGACTTAGACAACACAACATTTGCCTGCAACCATCGCATGTTTAATAGCCCTATAACGACAGTTATATGACTATAACTAAAGGCCGGTTTAGACAGTACAACTTTGCCTACAACTGTCGCGTGCAAAAAACATGCGTAAGTCATCATTTGACATGGGTACAACTGTCGTAGAGATTAAAAACAATTGCTTAAATTGCCCTACGACAGTTGTAGCCATGTCGTAAGGATGACTTATGCAGATCACATGCCATGGCTGTAGGCAAAAGTTGTACCGTCTAAATAGGCCCTAACCAAGACTTAAGCATGTCACATACGATGTTTATAGGCAAAACTTGTGTCGTCTAATTCGGCCTTAAGAAGTCATGCTAACTCCCTGTTTAGAATTGTGTATTTATGTATATTTGATATGAATTAATAAAATAAGAAATTACATCTGTGATTCATTCTGAAAAACAACGAAAGCAAAGTTCATCTGAAAGAAATTTTATTCTTCTCAGCCCTAAACCTATTCATTTGATATGTATTTTGGAATTAGCSACCCCTTTTCTTGATATGGCTCTGTACCTACCTGTATTCACAGCGGGTGATTTTGGTTTGATCACAGGTTGAGCAGCAACTGAAAAGAAAAAACAACAACAAATTCAACACTTGAATGACATGAAAGCAAGAGAATATYCGACTGTTTACAATAAAATTATGACATTATATAATGAAAACTGATGATACAGTATTCATTGACTCCGCCATCAAAAATCTGCACAATTCGTAATAAGAGATTGAAAGAATCCCAACCAACCACAATACAGCGCGCGCTCKTGTTATTATTTACATGCGTCAAGCATACAATAGATTATAGATTGACATGGTACCTGTGAGGTACTTCAAGTTAAAAGTATACCTGTCTAAACTAAAGGATGGAAGACGTTCGCGCCCATAAAAAAATAAAAAATCCTACAAATCAGCTATTTTCGTGTCCACCTAATAAAATGGCGCTTCGGCTCGCAAGGTACGGCGGTTGGTTGTGATTCTTTAAGGGACAGTGCACTAATATGAGGTATAAAAACTGATTGAAATGAAGTATTTTTACCTTTAGGYTGAACCTTGGGTGCTGCTTCATTTCGCTTTACACGAATTAAGTCAGCAACCTCGTTTGCTTGAGGTTTGACGTCACAAGTGACGAGAATCGCTCCCAGTCTACAACAAGATAYTTMATTATTAGCGTGTAAGTGGAAAGATTGATGAYTTAGAGGCMCAACATAAAATACACWGCAGGGAAAGCAGTTTAAATGTTTTGAGAAAATTTCAATTTTTTTTTTTGCCATTTTGTATATACAGCAAAGCATGATGGTTGTTTTACTAAGTCCTCGTTCTATTTATAGCCCCTAAAATAATCCAGTTTCGAATTCTCCAATGCTCTGTGTTAGCCTCATTTGTGCGYAAAATATTCCTAATTGTGAGAATAAACGTGTGAGATTTCAAWTCAATTMTATTGTCTTTCTTTTCRAATTCCATGYGTGTTTTCGGGCTATCAATGAAACAAAAGAATATGTTACTTGGTTTTGAGGCTAACACAGAGCAAACCAGAACTCGAAACTGGAGTATTCCCCCTAAAACCCATTTAGATTTTTATACTGTAGAAAGGGCACAAGGCCTTTCTGTTTTTACAAAACAAAAGGAAAAAATCAGCCTAGACTGAACTCTTTAAGCGRACATCAAAAATAGAAGGACAACAATATCCCAATCAGACTAACTCATTACTAAGAGTTGATTTAAACTAGCCTGGACTAAAACCCGAAAATATTAAAGAGGGAAAACTAGAAACCTAAAAAACTTTGATCGACAAAATGAAATGTTGATTTTGTTTATTTATGGTTGACGTAAGACCACCCGTCGTGCTTTGCGCCTCGTCAATAAACAAACAATTTAAATATTCATTAGTTTGCTTAGAATTTCATCGCTATTTTATATTTGAATTTAAGAAAGAAAAATTAAGAGAAGAGCTAATATTAACTTATTTAAACCGCTATATAAATAAGGTTAAAATGTGAAGACAGTTTTTTAATACAGGTAAAGGTACGAATGTAATTTAAAAAAAATTTAAAGACATTTTTAATCATAATTAGCAAAAACAAAGCAATTCAAACCAGAAATTACATAACACATTTAAATCAAAATTATCATTAAAATGAAACTGAAATAGTACCAATACGTGAATTTARAAAGTTTGTATGCTGAAAAAGAATACAGTAAAATGCCGGCAGGCAAAATGGCTGCAAAGCTTGGATAATAAGATGGTCAATTTTTCAATAGCTTAAAATGATTCGACTTAGACATGACTTAAAACTATTGGCAAACTTTGAGATTGGATTTTTTTAATCAAAAGTTCTATACAAAGTTTAAAGAGAAGTAAAGCAAATTATACTTTAAAATTTKTGGATCATTATTCACTGAATTAATAGAAATCATCAGCTATATAGCACAACCATTACAAAGTACTGAAAGAAATTCGTGAATTTTCAACCTCGATACAAAATGCTAAATAAATGACTAAGAACGCGAATCTAAAACAATTAAACTTTTTTAATTCACGAGAAAGTTGAAAGAAAAGCAAAATTAAAGAATTAAAAAAAATTCGCTATTGATGGTCTAAAAATTACATGTAATAAATTTTGATGATATTTAACCAAATAGCTTACACAATTTCTAAATTTACAACGCTCTTTCGCTTGAAATTTTTAAACAAATCATATGGTATTTTTTAAAAAATCTGATAAATTAATCCATTTACTTATAATTTAGCTAAGTCATTAAGATTAGTAGAAAAAAGAATACTAAAATACGTTAAAAACTATACCAAATTATTAATAAAAAGACAAATTTAACGAGTTATAGGAACAGAAATGTTCCCTATTTTTCCTTGATTAACCAGATACTTACAGGAGCAGCAATGCGAGTCGCAACCACATCTCGTCCTACAACGGACGATTCACCAACCGCGACAAACGGTCGTCTGCCGTACTGTAATACGGTAGACAATTAAATAAGGTCAAATATCTTGTTAATTATTAACTGCCTTACGTTATAGATCACCTAACGATTATTTACTAAACATTACTATCGCAACGTGTCAATGTTCATTTTTTTTGAAGAAATTTCCCACAGTTTTGCACGTGTTTGCCACACCCTTGTGGCTAATCAAAAGTTGAAAAATGTCCTACAGGAAAATGATATTTCTACGTGTAGTTTTTAAGCTATTACATTAAGTACAGTAGCAATTACTTTTTCAAGGCCACCCATTGTTTATTTAGTAAACAAAAAAACCACGTACCAATGTACATTATTTGTGAAAAACGTATCCCGATGATACCACCTTAGTCTGCATTCCCTAAAAGCAGGTCCATGAAAAAATATATTACAAATTTTTAAGAACTATAAAAAAGGTTTCCAGGAATCAATTATTTTTTCACTCATTTTACAACTTTCGTAACACTGTTTGACAAAGTCACAACAACTTTTCAGAGACCACCTA